ATTTTCTGTCTTTGAAAGTGACTTTGAATTGTGGTTGTATAAATATTTTTTTCCATGGCTAATTAGCTTCTTACATAAGAAAAATATTTTACTTTAATTTTGTGTTCTTTGATTTAGGTAAAAACTCAACTGTTCAATATTTTTCTATGCCTTTAAGATTTATATATTGGAAGTTTTTTAAATTTTATATATTAGAGCTTCTAATATTAGCTAGAATAGTAAAGTTTGATATCTGTAGTTAAAAATGTCATTGGACTTGATTTCTAAAGATTTCCCTGCCCCTTATGAATAGATGTGCCTTGGTGAAGTCACTTAACCTTTCTGAGAGTCACCTGTAAAATCCAGTCGCTTTGAGTATTGAGCGAGTTCATGTAGATGACAGTGTGTCTTGCACTCTGACTTATGTGTGTGTGGTGGATGCTGTGCCATACTGCCCAGATTCCCTTTCAGGAAATCTGAGATACCCATCCCTCTCCGTGCCAGTGCCACAGCTACATCCTTCTTAGATAATTGCCCTCAGAGTAAAGGAGCTGCTTCTCCCAAGATTAGGCTCCCACCCTCGGGGCAGCCTGCATCCAACATTTGGTTGGTACACAGATGCAAAGGCATGTCCCTCTTCCCTTGATTCTGGATAACCTTAAGGGCCTTCCCTACTCTAGAGCTTCCACTAGAGGCCTTTGCTGCAAATGCGTCACAGTTCAACTCACCCTGCCCATCTGCCCATTTCTTCCACTCATTCCCTCACCAGCATTGGAGAGAGTTCTCAGTAAACTTCCTGCAGGCAAACCTTGGTCTCAGAGTCAGTTTCAGGGAACCCCAGTCCAAGACAACATGTAAGTTAACCGTATATATTAATTATGTGTTTAATTATGTTCACCTGAAATATGCCAGATAGTTTCGTGTGGCTATTTTATATTCCTTTCCTTCACCAGACCTCCAGTAATAAATCCTGTCACAGTACGGCCAACCAACTTTGGCAACACACTGCAGTGTCATTTTTCTATTATTGCCTCTTGACAGCATTGCAGCATCCTGAGGCATTTTGAAGCTTAGGTGTTTGGCCTTCTGCTCACGCACATAAGAGCTTCCTGGGTGGTCTGCCAGTGGTTATGGAGAGTTTGGGAACCTGCTGCTCCCCAACAGCTAGTTCTTAACCAGACTTATAGCATTAAAGGCCAGATAATGGTACGGAGCTAGGCCTTGCACAAGTCCTTAGATAGATGTCATAAGTGATCCCAGGCAAGCTCATCAAAGAACCACATTGGCTCATAACTGCCCATTCAGGTCAGCTTTCTTTATACACTTTAAGTTTCCCTATATAGTTTAAGTCACTGTCTCTAAAATTAAAATATTTTTAGTACTTTGTTGACATTTTTATGACTTCACAAATACTCCATGTGAACAGTTATATTTATATTGATTTATTTACATCCATAAATGCAAACATGTTTCTGAAATATTAGCCTACCTACAAAGTTTATTTCCCAGTCCTGCTAATAAACAAAATAGCAAATAGCGTAACTCTGAATGGACAACAGAAACTGCGCATCTCTCACCATGTCAATTGTTAATACTCTGGTTTGAGCCAATGTCACCCTGGCTTCGGATTGCCTTTGCCTCCTACAGTCTACTCTCAAGGCAGCAGCCACAATGATGCTTGTAAAAATGTGTTAATAAGTCAGATCCTTTTACTACACTATTCCAAACCTGGCAACAATTCATTCTCTACCCCTTATCTCTCTGATTTCTTATTTACTTTCTCTCCCCATCACTCTGCTCCAGTCACACCAGCTTCCTTACGGTTCCTGGAACATACTGGACACGTTCCTGTCTTACTTCGTTGCTCTGGCAGCTCCCTCTGCATGCAGTACTCTTCTCCCAGTTGGCTGTTGGACTAACTCTTTTACCTCTAAATCTTTGCTCAAATGTTGTCTCTCTTTGAGGCTTATCTGGATCACCCATTTCATGTGATGACTAGCACATCCATCACACTCGTTGATCCCAGGCCTATATCTCCTGCCCTGCTGTATTTTTTCTCCTTTACACCACCTTCTCCCTTAGACAGGGTGCATTTACCATGAGCTAATGAAGCCTAAGCTTCATGGCCCCTTCCCTGCATAATTCCCATAAAATTTGCAAACATAATATATTTTAGCTTTAATAGGTTAACTCCGTTGTCTCTTTACACTTCAATATTTCTTTTCTTTCATACCTTCTCTTGTACCATGTGATGTTGAATGACTGCAGACATTTTTGTTGAGGTATGACTGAAGAGAAATTAAGTTAGGGATACATTGAGTTTGGGTGTAGAGGAATACTCGATGTAGGGATACATTGAGTTTGGCTGTAGAGGAATCTAATTAGTGTTTTGCTGTCACTTCTCTGTAAATTCAGTTAGTGCTAGCCATTTTGGTATGGAAAGGGCTTCCAGGAAGACAGCTGCTGCCTGTTGACCCAATAGTGTACTGTCTTCTGATTGGTACACTAAAGTGGCTGGCATCAAATATATGTGAGTGGGTGGTGGAAGAGAAACATGGTGTGAAATTAACAGAGCCAATTGGTAGAAAATTTTTTCACATTTTATAGCTCAAATTTTAAAGAAATCTGATTGAGGTTTTCCAAAATTTGGCATGAATCCTAAACTTTTAATGGAAATGGCCAATAAAGTTGTAATGCCAAAAGAAACTTCTAATAAAGAATAAAATAATTGTTTTTGATTAACCATGCTAGAGATAAGGGCAGATTATCTTCCTGTTCTCTCTATAGAAAATGTTACAGAATTACTATATGAAGAGGTGATCAAAGACAATGCAGTAAAAATAAATGTGCTTTGGATAGTTAATGAAAATATTTTGTGACTTTTTCAGAATTTTTAATGTTTTTGCTATGTATGAGCTTTTTAATGTGTGTAAGTTGTTTTCTTATGCTGAGTAGTTCATAACTAGTTTTGCATTAGTAGTTTTGCATTGTTTTTGTTAAAGAAGACCGACCAAATTGTATAAACTTCAGGTCTTACAAGATGCAGGCATACCCTGAATATGCTGTATGATGTACTTATTTGTTTGTGTTCTGCTTATTGTTTATCATCGGCCCCTCCCTTTAGTCCAACAGAGGGCAAACATATTGAGAGCGGGAATCTTAGTTGACTGATGCTTTTTAAGTACCTGAACAGTGCTTGGCGCAGAGTAGGCACTCAGTAAATATTTGCTGAGTGAATGAATTGACATTACAATGAAACTTGGGTATTAATCTAATTTAGTTTAGCTTAAGAGAAGTCAATATTGACATGAAGGAAAGTAAAAAGACTGGTGCATAGAAAACACTGTCTTGAAACTGTATTTTGTGTGACTAAGGGCATAGAAGTAAATTCCTATTTCTAGATGTTTCTTCAGTAGTCATTAGCTGCTACGTTTTTCAACAGGATCTGTATCATTGTTTTTTAGGTTCTATTGCCTTATTCCTTGGGACCCATGGCTAGCCTCAGCTGGCTTTCTGCATCATCCCACTCTAAGGGTGAGAATTTAATTTTAGAGCTGTAGGGAGGTGAGGCCATGCAGAGAACCACTGGGAAGCCAATACAGCAGCCGATTTTTCTTAAGCCAAGAATTGGGCAGTAGGAAAATAAAGGTAGACTATTTTTTATTTTCCTGTATCTAAGTCAATTATAGAAACTCTCTCTTTAGAGAGCTATCTTTGTTTAAACATTATATATTAGAAATAAAAATATTTCTCATGCAAAGGAGGAATAAGTAAACAAACATATTTGTGTGTGTGTGTATATATATATATTGCATTTTAAAATAGGCATATTAATATAGAGCTTAAAAACTAGAGCTGAGCTTTAAGAAAAACAGAATCTCATAAGATTTCAGTTTGGAGAATTTTTAGGTTTCTGGACACACAGTAAAACACATTATATGTATGACTAGTGGAGGGCAACCTCCCTTCACTTAAACATCTAAACATTTATATAACCACTAAAACATCTTTTTTTAAAAAAATGCCCTTGCAGGATTTGCAGAGGTCATAGCCAATTTTTATTTTTATTTTTGAGAACACTTTTCTGGACATAGAAGGGAAGCCTTATTATCAGTAGTGAAGAAAGTGGTGAGCTAATGAAGGTGTTAGGTGTTGACAAGACCTCTCTGCTTTCTCAGTTTAGCAGTTAGCACTTGGCACTGCTATTTTCCAGAATATAATTTGCTGCACTCTGACTCCATGTCTAGCAAGTCTCGACAAAGGAACATCAATAAGTTCTCCAAACTGAGCTTTTGTCAGCACTAACCTTGCAGAATACATGCCACTGAGAATTGTGACCTTCATTGTTAAATTTCTCTGTTGCTTAAGAGTTTTATTCCAAAGTTGAGTCCTAAAGAGATTATTAGGACAGTAAGAGTCTTTTCCCACATGATTTTCTTAAGTTTGCAGGCAGAAGTTGGGTCTACAAGGTTCCTTGGAAAAGTAGAGAAATTTTTTTAAACTCAGAATTGTGTCTTTACTCAGGGTTATTGCTTAAAAATAACCCCCACTGAGAAAAGATACTGTAGCATGTGGAATATCAATGTACCAAGGCTGAGAGTTGTAGTGTTTCTACTGGACTATCAGTAGCTCAATGAACATCACTGACTGGAATGAAACCTACAATTCTTGACATTATTACTCTTTTTATTTTTCTCTTTTTATGTCTAAAGGCTGCAGAAGTGTTATTGAAGCACATTATTTCCAAAACCAGGTTGAAACTAATTAAATAAATGTCAAACTTTCTCAAAAAATATTTTTAAAAAGATGATTTAAAAAATTTTTAAATAAGTGTTCTCCCAAATTATTTTCTCTGGAAACAGCACTAGAAATAAATAAATGGGTCTGCTGATGTGGTGGGCATATCAGAGAGGGAAGAAAAGAGCTTTTGAGAAAAAAAAAATAAAAAGCAGGGGTTTAAATTATTCATCAGGCCCTCTCTCAGCTGCTTCCTTTCTTGCCTCGTGAATGGCACACCCCACATGGATCCTCAGCGTGGTCGAAGGGGTGGTGTTTACTCTGGTGAAGCCATCCTGTCGGGACTGGTTTATTCAGATCCTTTTGACCAGAACGTTTGCTAGCATCTTTTTTTCCCCAGTGAGTGTTACATAATGCAATGTTATGAATTTTATCTCTGTTCTCAACAACTTGTTGCATATATGCACTCAAAATTGATGACTTTCATCGTACTGTTATGCAATAAATCTGTCAGGTTAAATTTCCTTTTAGTGAGCCAAAAGATGAGCTGAACACCGATATATTTAAGTATAAATCAAAGTATAAGATTCCTCACATTATTTGTGGGTTTTTTTTTTCCCATTTATTTATTTTATTGCATTTTACATTTTGGGGTACATGTGAAGAACATGCAAAATTGTTGCATAGGAACACACGTGGCAGTGTGATTTGCTGCCTTCCTCCCCATCACCTACATCTGGCATTTCTCCCCTTGCTATCTTATTTGTGGTTTTATGAAGAACAAGATGAGCTAGTTAATTGGTTGCTAGTTGCCTTTTTTTTTGGCACTTGCTTCATTTAAGAATCTGCTGTGGTCAGTGATTCCTTCTTTAATGTCCACATTTTCTTCTATTATAAGATTGTAGGGTATGCCAGTGAAATTAGACACTGAAACCAAAAGGAGAAGCAGGAGACTTCTTCTTTTTAGCGCTGTTTGTTTCCATTACCAATTACTTACTTGCATGTGTTTATACAGTCAGTCCTTTGTTTACACACTTCCCATGTGCACAATTTTCGGTTGACATGTTACCGTGAAGACAGAGGACTGCCTAGATTTATCTATGTGTGTATGAATATATGCATGTATTTATTTTTATTTTTGAATGTGTTTATTTTTCAGGTATTTGAAAATGGTAAAAACACTGGCGAGATCTCTGTTTGTATCAGTAAAAAAGATTTGGGATCTGATAGCCCAATTCAAACTGATGATATGATGGAAAGAGTGAGTTTACTGACAATTTACTTATGACTTTAAGTGTCTTGCAAGCTACTTGTATCTAATTTAGATAATTATATCTTAACGTTGTTTTCAGAAGATCAATGGTTTGTTGATCTGTAAAGGCTGATATTGCAAAGATTGACTTCTGAATTTCTTAGGCTTTCAGCCTTAGTGTAGTGTTAACTCCTGGCCTCCATACCTAACAGTTTCTTAACCTTCATCGTGCTTATATTTGGAATCTGTCTGTACTGAGCCCTGGTTTTGATACATCAGGATTTCCCTCTTGTTTACAATTTTTAAAAAAGTAAAAGGTATGCCCTGGGTCTAGGGTATCCCCAAACCCTAGATTCTGAGTAAATAGCATGCAGCCTTGGTCTTCTCCCATGCTCATTGTGAGCAAGTCCAACTAGTTTTGCTCACATCTTAGGCATTCTTACCTTTTTCTGTTTTCCAGACAATTGGGATGTTTCTCAGGCAGAACCAACATGTTCAGGGTCTTTATTTTGGATCTTTGTCTTTCATAAAAGGACACTGAACAGCCTGTTGTTTACAAATTGGGGTTATGCACCCGAGTGCACACCAGTGTTTTGGGCTCTGTTGCCTTGCCTTTGTTCAGTAACTTGTTACCTTTTTCTCCCTTCAGTTCAGCACCCTCAGATTTACCTCTCCTGGTGGTATTCATTACCTGGCTTTTACAGCCAATCAAAAAAGTTGCATATGAATTGGGATGCTCTCATTGGATCATTAGCTGGACCTGGAAGAGAGGAAGAAGTGCTATTTTGATTAGAGGGAGAAGGATCCAAAGCCTTGCCTGGTTTCTTTTTACCATAACATAACTGATTATACAAATTACTATGACATAAAGGCCTTCATAGGGTTTTTCACCTGTCACCCCCTCTTTTTACATTAGAATATTTTACTATTGAGTTCATGTTAAAATTGAAGATGGCATTTATGATATCTTATACAGGAAGATATTAAGCTGGGCATGGTGGCTCATGCCTGTAATCTGAGCACTTTGGAAGGCTGAGGCAAATGGAACTCTCGAGCTCAGGAGTTTTGAGACCAGCTTGGGAAACATGGCAAAACCCTATCTCTACAAAAAATAAAAAAAATTAGCCCGGCATCGTGGTGCATGCCTGTAGTCTCAGCTACTCAGGGCCTGAGGTGGGAGGATTGCTTGACCCTGGGATGCCGAGGTTGCAGTTAGCCGAGATCCCACCACTGCACTCCAGCCTGGCGACAGAGTGAGACCCGATCTCAAAAAAAAAAAAAGGGGAAGATACTATTCTATAGAAACTTTTTTGTATTGACTTATAACACACAGAAATTGAGCTATGCTGTGCTTCTGTATGTGATAAATCTGGGGCAAAAACATTAATTAGGGGCATTATAAAGCTCTTTGGGAGAGCCCTTGTGACACCACCCATGGACAACTGCTCCCTTGTGTGGACACTTGTCTCAATCACTAGCCTAAGATGTTTCACACTCTTTTCAGGTTCTTGAACAAATTCTTATCTTATAAAGGCCTGGTGATGATAGCTTTGAAAATAAATGGGTGAAGATTATCACAATGTTTGGCTGCCACCGCAAAGCTCTAACCAATGACCTAAAGATGCAGGGCACAGAGGCCCTTACCTCCTGTAGACTGTTGAATGCTCATCTTTGAACACCTAAAATGCAGTCTGTCACCAACTTGAGAAAATAGAGATTGCAATGCAACTCCTGTGAAAGTGAATTTGGTTAAGTGGTCAGGTGCTCCCATCGCATGTCTACCTCACATCCCTGTTCTTTGTGCACCGATTTCTTTCCTGGATCAGGCCTTAAATCTTTTGTATCATTCCTCTTTATAAAAAGGTGATGCCTGTAAAGCAAAATCTCAGTGATTTAAAAAGTGATCAGCATAACATGTTTTCTGAAATAATAGAAAAGCAACAAAAATAAGCTCAAGGGCTGAGACTACACTAAAATAAATGTAGGGCTTTAAAAATACAGTCTATAGATTTCAAACTATGTTTGCAGTTTCAATGGAAAATAACCAAGGAAATATAGATTTTTACTGTTCTAACACCTTTGCCTCTTAAACACCTAAAGAGGAGAGTAATTATCATTTTTAATTCAAAGAAATTCGTTATGCTGGATGAGGACTATTTACATTAATGAAAGAAAGTGTCATTATTTCTAGCCTTTCCAATGCTCAAGACTAAAAATCTTCAGCTAATGAAAACATCGAAGTTGGAGATACTGTTATGTATCTCTAACTAGGACAAAGCCGAATTCTTAGGTGCTGTACATGTAGTTGCAGGTCAAAGGAAATACTTGCTCAGTCAAGAGTTTACAACCAATCAGTGAGACACCTGAGATGCATGGCAGACCTGCAACTTTCCCTTCTTTCCTCTGAGCCTCACCATTTAGCACTTCTCAATATACCGCCAATGGGAATTAATAGAGGAGCAAAAAGAAAAGAAAAACAGAGGACCCTGAACTGCAGTTAGGCCAGAAAAGACCATAGTTATATCCACAACCCTTCAGGGATTACAGAGTAACAAGAAATCGTGAGACACAAGAACTGACAAGGAAGAGATGAAAAGGAAGCCCATGACAGAAGGCTAGGGGAAGAGTGATGGATAGGGTGGCGTGCAGAGCAGGAAAGAGCAGAGGCTGAAACACTTAAGCAAAGCTGACAGAAGATAATGAAAAATGCCTTTAAAAATACCATATACAGCACACTTCCGTTAGATTTACTTTATATTTGAAACATCCCCTAAATTAGAAATGTCTTGATAATTTAGAGGTTCTAAACGCAAGATGGAAGCAAACAATGACAATGCTATTATTTTAAATATTAAATGACAGCTTTCCATACCTCACACTTCAATGATGTCTTACAACTTAAAAACTTCCATTGTTGAAGCTGTTCACAAGCTATTTCAGGGTTCATAATTCAAATGCATCTAGAAAAGACACCTTTGTAAATGAACCAACTTACATGAAAAGTCATTTTAATTTTTGCAATTCTCCTATTATTAGTTACCTGAGATTTGTTGGGGACAGGGAGATTGGTGATTGTAAAACTTGAACGTGGTCTGGAAGGCCCCTAACAAAATATGTAGCTTAGACAAGAAAAGCGTAACCCTTATCAAAGAGGACCGTTACCATGTGTAGAAGCTAAATGCTCTTTCTGTAAAACTGCCACATCTGCTTTCAGTCCTGGTGCCAAAGGGTCAGAGCTCAATCACAAGCCTGTGGCACCCCCTGCTGGTTAAAAGCTCATGCTCATTTTGTTACTTTACACTGGAGCTAAACATTGCCGTCATTTCACACTTCTTTTAACATTCTATATGAATTTAATTATCATTTATTTGAACTTCATTTGTTACAGAGTAGAGACAGTTTATTACAGATGTTCCCATTTTAGGTTATTTATTCTTCTTTATCCCCTCTGCCCCGACCCGCCCCCAACCAGTTCCGTCTCAAGATTCATCAAAGGCTTCAAGGTTCTTCCATCAACCCACCAGGCCTCAATTTTTCTTCAATGCGGCTTTTTGATGAGAATGGTCAAGAAATTAAGAATCCACTTTTGCTGAAGAATGAGCAAAAAATTTGGGTCTCTTATGGTAGAGCATACAGGTAGGAGCAAAGGGTTGGTTTCTGTCCTCAATCTTTCCAGGGGTGAGCTAATTTGAAAGGAGATTTGAGAAGCCAAGTAGCACCCTTTATAAAACATTTCTAAAAATTTCAAATTCCAATAAAACTTTAGAGGTGTTTTTGCAGGGCAGTATTGTTTGTGGAATATGACATCTCTTCCCTCTTTCTCTCTCTCTGTCTCTCTTTCTCTCTCTCTCTGACTTTCTGTCTTAATGCCTTGTCATAGTTCTTGAAGTCTGCCTGTCAGCACAGCAAGAGGGATTTGTTCATGTCTGAGTAGTCACCTTAATGATAGCAGATGGAAACGCCACGGGGGGCCCAAGCCCATCACACTGTCATTGTCGCACACTGCCCTGACCTGCTTCCACTCCACTATTTTTTTGTCCCTTTTTAAAGGAGAAATGGATGGTAATTGAAAAGGATCTTAAGCAAGATTTATGAAGCTGTAGACAACATGATTCCCCTCTATCTCTCTGTGTTTTCACAAATAAAGCCTTAACCTTTTAAGCACCAATGACAGGACAGCTAAAGATAAATTGGTAAAGCTTGTAAGCCCTATCCTATCAAAGTTATATTCCTCAAAAGCACCTTACATTATCCCACAATAATTACTGGTTATTACTGAGCATTGTGTAAATTTTTGTAGATTGGTAAATTCCTGCATAAAATTATCTGCGTTTCTGAAGAAAGAAAAAGGCTACAGTATACAGGCACTGATGAGCTGGGCTGTTGTGTTCAATATCTTGGAAATGTATGCATATTTTGACAGGACACATCCAGATGAACTCTGAAACTGCTTGTCAGGAAACTTAAACATACTGTTCTGCCTATTTTTAATTTTTTTAAGCTTATTAGCTGTAGAACAGAATAAGGTAAAGTAATTTTTCATATAAAGTATAAATAATCATATACTAACTATAATGAAAATAACATAAATAAACCTAAATCTTAGCAAAGCAAGGGCTGATTGGATTTGCTACATGTTCAAATAGTTAAAATTTCAAATACTGAAACAAATGTACTCAGAAATCCATGAAGGATTTGGAAGAAGCGGCTAGAATAAGTTGTGTGTCTCATGTTACAAAATTTTATTTCTTCTGTCCCAGTAAAATTACAATGCTTGATGATTTCTTATGCTGTGTAATTTATAGAATTAAGAAATCTATAAGGAATGGAATGGTAAGTTTTTGTCCATAGATAAATTTCAAAATATAATTTCATTACATCATAAGTAGAATTGTTTTTACAATGATAAAAACTGATGAATTTTAAAAAGGCAAGAATTCTAGAACAATCTAGTAAGCTCTTCTAATTACAAGGATAGGCTTTCATAAAATGTGTCATTATTATTTCTTTTTAATATTATTGTCAAAATGAAAGTAATGACATTAATTTTAATACTTTTAATGACATTTGCTATCATATAGCATTTTAATAATTTTAAACATGTTCTTGGCTAATTGGATCATATTTGTGGAATAACTGGTAAAATGCCAAAAATCTGAGATATTCTAAAAGGCACCTGAGAACTGTAGTTGGAGAAATTTACCAGTACATATATTTATTTGTATTTCATTGTGATTTTAACACTGTAATGTATTTTTCTAGTTTCCAATCCAACGTAAAGTACCAGGAAACCATTACAGCATTTTGCTACCATGGGAATGTTTAAAATGTATATGTGTAAAAAGTTATTGCCATCTAGTTTGAAATATATTGAGAAATATGCAATATATACCAAGTAAACGGTATTCATTTTCAGTAGGTGATTCTACTGTGTCTAACTTATGTTGATATGATGGGTCAAGCTACTCATTTGTAAAAGACGAGTTTTGCCAATGTCTGCCTCTATTTTGAATACTCTATTTTTCCTTCAAATTTTTATTTTGAAAAATTTCAAATCTAAGAAAATTTTTGCCACATTTGTTTTCCTCTTTCATATCTCCCATCTCCCTCTCTCTCTCTCTCTTTCTCTCTCTCTCTCTCTCGAACGGCTTGAAAGCAATTCCAGACATTAAAATTTCACTCCTAAATGCTTCAGGTTACATAACTGAAGAAGAGTTATGTGTCACCACATCATAATATCTAACACAGTCAACAGTAGTGTAATATCTTCTGATATACACTCTATATTCAAGCTAACCAAAATATGATTTAGAGCTCTTTGTAATCCAGTATCCAAATATGCTTCTTTGTATTATATTTTCTGTAGTTCTTTTTAACCTAGAATATTCTCTTAATCTTTTGTTTTGTTTTTCATGACATTAACTTATTTTTCAAGAGTCCAGGCACTTTTCTTGTAGAATGTCCCACATTCTGGGTTTATCTGAGTTTTTTCTCATGATTAGATTCAGTTTAAATATTTTTGGCAACAAGACTACACAGGCGATGCAGTTGATTTTTAATTCTAGAGATAAATAGCAAGTCTTTAGTAATTTAGATGAAAATGGCTCATAGTTGACAATAGTGGCCATTGTTTTGATTTAAAATCTGTTTTTGATTTTAATTTCCAAATTCACCTAAAACAGTGTGTTTAACAATAAGTAATATGAAAATCAAATCAGCATCGCATTTAGTGAGCTCACGAGAAATGGTTGTTTGTAGCCAAATATTGAGAATTCATTTAATTATCAGCTCCTAAGATTACTATAGATGTATGGGATTACTGTTAATCATGGAAAATGAACATTATATGAATGATGATTGTTTTTCTCAACTAAATACTTCGCTTTAATTACTGCAGTTATTTTTTTAATTACATATATTGAAATTATTTTGGCATATTATAGATCAGCTAAATAAACTGAAGTATATATTTCAGGTGTTAATATAGAATACCAGTTATATAATAGGAAATTCACTTATTTCTGAATTTTATTAGACACTAATAATGTGTGTTTTATTGTTTATTTGTGCTCAAATTTCAGTGTATATATAATTTTGAAGATAGTTTTGATTTTTTTCCATGTTTTAGATCTCCACTAAACCTTGCTTTGGGTTTGACTTTTGATCGAGTGAGTGCATTTGCCAGAGGTGACATCGTGGTTGCATATAAAACTTTTTTGGATCCTAATGCTGTTCTGCTACCTGGATGTGGCAAGTAAATTAACAAGTAATTTTATTAAAGATGTGGTTAAAGTAATCCAAATCACTTAATTCAGGATTTTTCAGAGTGAGTGATTTGAAACACTAAAAGATGCTCTTTCAATTGTCTTAAATAAGCCAATTTTTATTGACTTATTTCATAGCATAACGAGGTAGTGCCTAAAAGACTTATTAACTTCCCTTAGTTTTAGAAAATCTTATGGGTCCATGAGCAGAATATAGTTTCTGCTTTGCAGAAACAACAATTTTCTTTGGAATGGAAAAGCTGTTTTTAGTGGTTATTTCTAAATTAATCATTTAAATGGAATTGTTAAAATATAAAATATGTCCTCTGTGTGAGTGTTCATATTCAAACATCTTATCTGATGAGGATACATTTAGAACAAAAACAACCTTCTGGGGACTTGTTGGGGCAGTGAAGAGGAGGAGTTAGGAGATCTAAGGAGGCATTTTGCTTCATCTCTGATCTTGATTGTCCAGGAGCAGATTGGTGTCAGTTTCTTATCTGCAAATAATATAAACTGGCTTTTACTGACTGTTGACCACAGGCCAGGCACAGTTACAAATTAATTGGGTAAGAATCAATTAATCCTCACAACAATTATCTTAATCCTATTATTCCATATTACTCTATTCTAACTCCATTCTTCAGAGACAGAAACCAAGGCACAAAGAGAGAAGTAATTTGTCCAAAGTCACACAGCTGGTACCTGGTAGTGCCAGGATTCTAACCCAGATCATTTGTCTTAAGTACCTGAGTGCTTAGCCACTATTCAGTGCCATCTGATAAAACTTTCTGTGATGACAGACACACGGTTTGTGACTATTGAGCATTTGAAATGTGACTAGTATGAATGCAAAACTGAATTTTAAATTTTGTTCAAGTAAATTGATTTAAATTTAAATAGAAATGGGTAGGTAGTGACTACCATATTGGACATTGCAGAAGATCCTATTTTGGATTAGGTAACCTATAAGGTCTCATCTAGCTTTAACAATCTTATAATTTAACAAATTATAGCTCTCCTTAATAAGCAGTTGAAAATGCTGAAGTAGAAGGTGTATACAGAGAACCAAAAGCAGTCTGATGAGTTCGCTCAGTTCAGCCAGTGACAACCTCTTGCTAAATATGTCTAGAGGGACATACTCATTGGTAATTGTTTAAATAACAGCTTTATTCCCCAATGACTGCTGGTACTTTCCAGGCAAGATTTGAACCTGTTTCTTTATAGATAGAAAGTAAGTCATCAGCATTCTTTTTACAGACATTTTCTATTTATAAGAGGATTTAATTTGTATGCAATAATCTTTCCCAAGCTGTTAAACTTACCTCAACTCTTTCCCTTGCATTTTTAGCCAGGAGTTTACATTTTTAATTCATAAAGTCCTTCTTAATTTCACTTCAAGTGCAATAAATACTGTTTTATTAAATTTATTCAAATTAGACCTAGGTCCCTGAGCATAACAATGTGAAACTGCCTTTACTGAATGCAAACTAATATTGTTAGATAATTTACTTAAGTTTAAACTCCATTTGGATTTTCTTTCTATACTCTAAAAGTGGATTATTTTATATCTTAATAATCATATTCTTATTTGTATTTCTCAGAGTGTTGACAGAAATTGCTATTACCAGTTCAAGGACTGGTTTCTGTTGAATAGCATGCTACATAGTATGTCCTAACATATTTGTGTTGAGCCAGGTAGTGTTTTTTAAGATAAGAATTGGGTCACTTTTAAGATAAATGGTTTGGCTGAACTAAGAAGGAAACTCAGAGTCTCTAGTTTGTGGTTTTTGCTTATACTCACTAAACTGTAATGGCTCCTAAGCCTCTCTTGAAATTACAAGACTAGCATGTTTAACCATTATAAGTATAAAAACATTCTTTATTATTCATAATCTAGTATATTTGAAATATAAATTTAACAAGAATATGGTCTCCACTACAAGTAATTTTGTAAGGGTAAAAGTCATTTTTGTTTCTTTGTTCTATTAATAATTAATTAGGCATGGAATCCTCCTATCTCATAAATAATTGTCAGGTAAACTTATAAAGTTTTACCTTTACCAATTATAGATAGCAAGGCAAATCTGTATTAAAAAGGTTACAAACTATACTTTTTTTTTTACTAACAGAGTATAAGATGTATAAATTATTAGTAATAAAGTATGCTCAAAGAGTAAAGAGTATTATGATTAAAGAGTAAAGAGTATTGTAATTAAATGCATAGTGTTCTAATAAAAATAATTACATATTTTACTTTTCTTAGTTGGGAAGTTTGTGAGGGATTTCCAATTAATTTCAACTGTACCAGTCAACGGATACCTGGCCAGTTTGAAAAGGTGGACTTGGAGAACCATTTCCTACAAAATAAGGTTAGATTTTAGTAATTTTACCTTAAAAGGTGCGTTTCATGCATTGGACATTCAGCCGATGTAGGATGGATATTTGTGACAGTTTTTTTTTTCCCTGCAATGGAGTCTCAGTCTGTCATTCAGGCTGGAGTGCAGTTAGGTGATCTTGGCTCACTGCAACCTCCACCTCCTGGGTTCAAGGGACTCTTCCGCCTCAGCCTCCTGAATAGCTGGAACTACAGACATGCACCACCATGCCCGGCTAATTTTTGTACTTCTAGTAGAGATGGGGTTTTACCATGTTGGCCAGGCTGGTTTCAAACTCCTGACTTCAAGTGATCTGCAGACCTTGGCCTCTCAAAGTGCTGTGATTACAGGCGTGAGCCATGGCTCCTGGCCTGTGACAGATTTTTAAACTATAAATTATTTTTACAAATGTTGGGGCAGGTGTTATTCTTTACTCCCTGTTAATTAACCAGGCACTTCAAAACTGAAACAATATATACCATTCCTACTTGAAAAACTTCTACCTGATTCATGTTATTTAAGCCCTATTGTTTGACATATTTTATTTGTACTATTAATAGCTATAATAATAAGTTGGAGTTATTTAAGGAAGTCTTCAAGATGGTTGCTATCTCTATAGTTTAGGATCTGATCTATTTGCTTTATAGGTCAATGAATCTAAGGAACACAAGTTCTTTAGGAAACCTAACTCATGGCAACCCAATCCAGAAGGTCCATATCAATTTACGCTTAGAAATTTATCTTTCCAGTAAAGAAGATTTTTTTTTCTCCATCTGAATTATGAGAGGTGTTTTGAATCTGTCTCTAAAGAAGGAATAATTCTTTTGTTTTTCTTAGCTGGCAAACTCTGTGTACAGTTGTTGCTCATTTTAGCTGTATAAGCTTTAGTTTTTGAACACATGAAATCAAAATCAAAAGTCATTCATAGAGATAGAGCAGTCCAAAGAAAGTAGGACTTCCTATCAACTAGGCCCTTTATTTTCAAGAGTCAATACAAGAGACACATTGCCCCAACCTGCTCTTTTTAAATGTCTTTATGCTACCCATTCAGTTTCTCAATTATGTCAAAATTTAAAGTGAAAATATTGGTTATTTCAAGGAGCATATCGATCTAAATAGTATAATTTTCAAAATAGAATCAAATGTTTCTAATTTTACCTGGTTTTGAGCAAATTTAGAAATTAAAGTAAGTAGAATTGTGTGCTCATTAATGTCTTCTGTGTTTTTACCTTAATCTGACATTAGGATTTATTTACTGTAGTTCTGATCCTGTTGGCATTCCTTGTTAGGTTTTTTTGCTGCAGCATTATTTTCTTGCTCAAAAAGCATGTATGCTCGGCTGCTGCCTTTTGAAGTTCCAAATTTTCATCTGGACTTCATTGATCTCCATGATTCTCGTCTAATCTACCTTCACTCCCAACTTACCTTTCCAATTTTCTCTTCTTCTTGCTCCTCCATATACTCTAAATACAGTCAGAGCTAATAAATTGTGTAACATAACATGCTTTCCACCTTTGTATACTTGTGTCATGCCTTGTGTTGTTCTTTGCCTGGGGTATTCCCCTAACCATTACCATTACTTGCTTCTTAAGGCTTTACTCAACAACCTCTTCCATAAAGCCTTCTCATATACTCTGGAAAGAATTCATCTTTATTTTGTATTCCCAGGACTCCTTATTTTCATTTGAAAGTGGCCTTGATTTTGGGTTTTGGTATAGGTATTTGCTTTTATGTTTCCTCTCCACTAAACTGAGGATTCTTTGGGCGCAGACATTGTCTTACTCGCCTTTGTATTCCTAAGCACCAAGACAAAGTCTTCAATGTAGGGCAAATGCACAATACATTTTTGGTGAATGGATTTTTTTGTTTGCTTGTTTAGCCATAACCTATCTTGCAAGGCTGAATATTCTCTAATATGGTCTTCGGGTGATAGCCGAGCCACATTGTTATTTGTTGTTTTCTGAAAGCACTCCCTGATTTCTGTTGTTATGCCCATGTGAACCTCTTTGACTAGAATTCCACCCTTCTTTTCGTGTCACCACACCTAGCCTTCTCTGTCACCCTTGTGCCATATCCTGGCACAGAGTTTGGCATATTCAATAAATGCTATTAAAATCCTGCCCATCATTCTACCCCTATCTGATTTGTGACTGCTTCATGAAATGTTTCTTTACCCCAACCCCATTTCCCAACCAGATATGACAATTCCCCTTTGCACCATTTACAATGATGTTAAACTAGATGCTGTTCCTCTTACAACTTCTTTTTGCATGGCACAAAATCAATTAGGCTCCAAGTTTGGGCATATTTCAGGTTACATCAGGGTAGGTAGGAGAGAATGGGAGGTTCTTTTGGGGATGTTAGGATCAGATCATGAAGGGTCTTAATTCAATATTAGGGAATTCTGGTTGATCTGTAGAAAGCAAGGAGCCATTGGAAATATTTGAGCAGAGGTAAGATGTGACCTGATCTTCATATTGGGAAGATAACTCAGGAAGTCCTTGTCTTATCCTCCCTGCTAGATTAAAAATTTCTCAAAGGCAAAGGGTATCCTGATCATCTCTGTTTCTGCTGCAGTATCTAGATGTTCAGTTAGCTGACCTGAATTGAATTTACTAGTCGATTGACTAATTCAACAGAGACCAACTCAAACCTGAAAAACAACTGGATATCAAAGAGATATCAGAGGAAAGGAACCCAAAGGCGCCTTTTCTCTTTGTTCTTATGTCAAAGTGGGATAACTATAATAAGATAACTGTATTTTCTAAAATGTTGAAGAATGAGAGAATCGTTAAATGGTTCTAATGATTTAGTAAAAATGAGAAAACAGTCATCTTAAGTGAATGTTTATATGCTATGGCATATTTAGCTTTAAAAATTTTAGTTCAACAAAAATAGTAGAAAGCAAAATTGTAAGGAAGCAAAAATTTGATAAATTGGCTAGTAAAAAGAAGCTTTCAAAGACAAACAGCTCTTCCATAGCTGTGAAGCCTCTAAAATCCTTTCAGAAAAATGTCTCCAATTATTTGCAGAGTGGTGATCAGTCCATCGGGAATAGTAATTTAATAACCTGAAAAGGAGCACTTTTAAAGATGGATTCAGGCAGAGGTGACGGATATCTGTTGGGCATTTTATTGTAGAATCTTGCTGCTCATTGAGGTAAAGAACACACTAAGAGGATTACAACAGGGGTTGAAGGAAGGGAGGCAAAAGCCGATATTCTTGATGCATATGTTTTAAAATTGGCTTGAGATAGAGATATCAGTGCTCAGCCCCTGACTGTTCTTTTAAATCTCTTATTGACAAATAGAACCTTTCCTACAGAGAAAAATTTGGAACATATAATCCCCATTTGTAATGTAGGAGTCAGCTATAACCCTGACATTACAACCTGTTGCTCTTTTATCCATTTCAATAACTGTTTTGGAATCTACTACACACTGACAATTTGGCAAATACATTTTTCAACATCTCTCTATTGTTGCTCTAATTGGCAACATTTTTAGATTGACTCAGTTTAAGGGCAATCAAATTAGATATCTCCATGAAATGGATGAGATTTAAACTTCATGGTAGTTAATATCAAAGAAAATATTTCATGAGAAGAATAGCTTCAGGAATGCCTGGTTATGGGAAAATAGAGCAGAACAATGGACTCTGGTGTTTGGCAGGTCATATGTTCTGCCAAAATAAAAAGGAAACATTTTAATTTTAGGCTTTCAATACATGGCTTTACAGACATCAGCAGGACATTAGTGACAACTTTCTGTATGGAAACAGCAAGAGAAACATCAAGTTATAATTTTGGAATTATGGTATACTTGTTAAAGCTTAGCTTGTAAATTCAGTAGTTATGGATGATAGTAGAATGCATTCATAATTACTGAATTACTGTATTATTCTGGCATTATTCTTTTTGTCACAAAGGAGGCTGGGAAAAGACAAAAACTCTTTGCTGTTCTATTTATTTGGAGAGCAAGTCATCGAAAAATGATATTTTCTATAAATTATTCGTATACTAAAGCAAATACAAAATTCTAGTTTAGATTCTGAACAGATTGCCATTAGCATAGGACACAGGACTTGAATTAAAACCCCAAGTCCTTTTCTTATTTTCAGTCCAATTAGATCTTAGTTATTTTGCCTTGTTTGACTGCATGATTTTGCCTTGCTGATATTTTCTACTTATAACTCTTTCCATTCATTGGCCTTAGAAGTGGGTGGACTGATCAGCTATAGAGTTAGAGCATAGAAACAATAAGAGAGAACAGAAATTACATGAGGAAAGAGATTTTATAACATTTTTAAAATTAGCTGTGATTTTAATATGTGTAAAATTATTCAAATTGACCCTAAATGCATTATCAAAAGTGAACATCATGTAAAATTTTTTTGCAATAAGAATAAACAATTTGCTCAAAATGAGGGTTGTGCTCTATGAACTTCTTTCATGAAACATTTTATTGTCTTGTGTTTTGTTTCTTAGTAGATGTGCAAGAGATGATCATAAGTGGTTCTTTTCTTATTTTGAATTTGCACAAAAATGTTGAAGGCTACTCTACCTTCATTAGCCATTTGGAAAAAAAAAATAAACAAGTTTTAACTGGCCCAGCATGTATATGCATTATTTTATCATTGACTGCTTCTATATCAGCACAGTTTATTCAGACAAGCAAAATCATAACGGTCACTTAAGGGAGCTATGTGTATAAGTACTTAGAAGGATGAAAGAGTATTTCTTTTCTGATTTTCAATAAGAAGACTTAAAAATGTTTTTAGTGGCACATATGATAGTATACATTTACATACCAGTCTCAATCTAAATGCTGTTATACACATATGAACATGCATGTGTGTACATGGGTGCACACACACATACATATGGCATATTATGTTGCAGATTGTCAGAGCACTTTTTTTTTTCTTCAATCCCAACTTTCATAATTCTTAACTTCCAACTTTCATTTGGTCTAAAGCTAAGCTATCAAATTAATTTAAAAAGTGAAGCCACAGAAGAAAAATTTAATGGCCATTGTCAGTTTTAAGCATATCAGAACTCCAGACTTGGCAGAAATTTTTATTTTTTTAAGTAACACAAAATAAAGCTGAGTTAGTGGGCCTTGCTGTGTCTGCTCTATGTAGAATCACTTGGGAACTGTCCAGCAAAATATCTCTTGAAGAACAGCATGGTGTTAATACTAGGTGCCAGCCCAAGGCAGAGACAAAGGATCCCTTCACTCTTCACCAATAAGCCAACTGTTAAAAGATTAAACCATGTTGTGGCGATAACAAGAATGTAGGCGCTGGCAGCAGGTGCTGTACAAAGAAGCAGTTGGCAGTATGGTTCTTCTGTCTGACTAATTTCAGTCAAAACAATCTTCTGCCCAATTGCAGAGGAGAGTTTTAAGTGTGTTGGCAACTTGGAGTTAGGAGGTTGAGTAAGAGTGCTACTTTAAATGCTGAGTCCTGTGGCGAATGGATTAGTAGAATGTAGTTTATCGTTGATCAGAAACTGTGGGGATTCCCCTCCACAATCCGGCCAGCCACTGTAAGCGCTATAAGTCAAATCTGCTTATGTGGTAGTGTTGCTGTCTTTTTTTAAATTTCATTTTCACATATAGGAGTAATATGATGTTTTCTTCTCTTGAGAAGTGACTTTCCTTATAGAATAATTACCATGTAAATTGGTTTTATCCTTTTGATTTTGCCTGATCACACTTGTAAAAATTTTCCTTTTAAATCATCATTTAATTTGTGCATTAAAAAATAATTTTCTACTCAGCAATATCTAGCGTTAGCACAGATATAGCATGGAAGTTTTAGTGTTAGAAAATAAATTGATAGTATTGAAGCAACATCATTTATTGGGTTTTAAATATAAATTGGCATATTCTTGTAAGCATACACAAATAAATATTGGTACTAAAAATCCTAGAATGATTACTCAGTGAAAGTGATAGTATAATTTAGGAGATAAGATTTATTCAGTATGAAGTAATAGAATTCCTACAGGTGATAGGAGTGCCTAATAATTTGACAACCAGGTTCTAAGTGAGAAATGCTAGAAGGTGCACAACACCTTTGACATATGTAATCTGATAAGGAACACAAGAGATGTGGGTGCAATGTCTCCCCCTTCAGTACCCTCCTGTCCATCCCCATAACTATCTCTAAAGTCTCAGCTCATATTCCTTTATTCTTAGGAGATTGTATGAACTCCCAGATATTTTCCCTACCTTTGATGTCTTCATTCTACAATCCGTTATCCTCTACCCTTACCAGATCAACCTAACTAAAATCTGCTGTTAGCTAGATAGTTTGAAAGCTCTCACTGGCTCCCTACTGTTCAACTGACTCCATAGCTTTACACTTGACACTTTTTACAGTTTGGACAAATTTACTTTTTGAGTCTACCAGCAAATCCTAAGACACATTGATTAAACTTCCTTGCCTTTACTTGGAATACCTTTTTATTCTTTATTATTCCTCTCAAAGTGTCCCCATCCTTCAAGGCCAGGTTTACGTGTTACCTCTTTCAAGATGCTCTACCTTTAGGTTACTCCAGCAGAAATGAGCATATCATTTTTTTGCATGCCTGTAATAACACTATGTAATCATTCATTTGGAGCTTAACATAAAAAGTGGGTGGGGAGAGAGAGAAAAATTGCCGCTACTCTGTTGTGTGTTTCTTTGGGGCAGGAAAAATATTTTATAATGTTCCACACCACATAGCTTAGGGTCTGGCATGTTAGAGTCGGTGGTCAATAAGTATTGATTGAATTGAATTAAAGGGGATTGAATGCTACTTTTTGAAAAGAGATATCAATCAGAATAAATAACATTCTAGGATAACTTTTTAGGGTAAGTGTGTTGAGGACTTTAACTCTTAGACTATAAGTTAAAAATGCATACTTTTTCTCATGATATAGGTAGATCCCAATATGGTCCTTCATGCCTCAGTTTCCATTGGAAAGTGGAGTTTCTCAAGCAGTGAAGCAAGCAGCAGGAGTCAGACAGAATCATCAATCCTGTGGCCTCAAGCCAGTGTGTGGCTGATCACCAAGGTACCTAAGAGTGTCTGTTTTTGCTGAGTGAACTCCCCTTACTGGCTGGCTCACCGCACTCACAGGTACCCGGTGCTCTCATGCACAGGAACACACAAGTGAAAACGTGATAGATTGTTGGCTATTATAAATGCTGTCTCTGCTCTTGGTATTGTCTAGCCCACAGGACTTCTATAGATTCTCAAGTGAGCATTCAGTTCACTATCAGACATGCTGCTGATTAGTTTATACCTCACAGTCTATTTAAACCAAACATAGAATTTGTTTACAGTCCACAGACTCATCATTTTCATGAGATTTGTGTGAATGTGCTTCTACTAGTGGGTCTTCATTTTGAGATATACCCCTGAGCCTCCCTGAGTCTGGTAGATTAGCAGCATATACCGGCTTTGCATATCATCTTAGCAAGGACATATTTTTAAAATAAACCCCCGAGTATAAACATGAACACTGCCTAACACATTTTGTTCATGTGTATTGGTAATATTTAATATTTTCCCTTTATTATTGTATTATTGGATATGACTTATAGAAGAACATAAAATTTTCCTCTCCTTTTATCTTACTACTATAGTACATTTTGTAAATATGTATTTTTGTTGAAAAGAGATGGTGTAGTTCACACCTATCCTTCTTGTGTCTCCCTGTAGCCCCTCATCACAGATTATTTTGCTACTTTTTAGCACTCTTGTGAATGTGAAGTCACCCAGTGAAGTTTGCTGGGAGGAGGGAAGATTGGCATGATTTTCTCAAATGAAATTTTGGATTACCCTTAATTGTTGTTCTTTAATTCTATGAAAGTTAAAAATAAACATATGGAATAATTAAGACACAAAGGTACTAAGACATATTATTTATTTCATATATCAAAGCAGAATAAGTTTACATGAGCTATTCCTGAAATCTGGATTTTTCAGCCTGGAGACTCTGTTAATTTACCCTTTTTACATGGTATTTTGTTTCTGATTTAATAATAATAACGTCTCCACTTAGTTGAATATCTATTATGTGTCAGGCATTACATTAGGTACCTTATTCACATTCATTATTTTATTTAATGTTATAGGAACTATGCAGGTTTTTATTATACCACTGAAGAAACTGAGGTTAGCAATAGCAGAGGAAAGATTCTTGGTCTTTTTGACTTCAAAACTTTCATTGTAATATAAAACTCTCCTACTTATTAGCCTTACCTGTGAGCATGATGGAAGTGTTATAGTCTCAGCACCCCACTGAATAGCTGTATGACAGCAGACAGTCACACATGGTATCTAGTTGTTAGTCTTCTATCAAAAAGAGTTGGATCAGTTGCTATGGAAGGTCCTTTCTCAGATCCCATATTCTTTGATTCCAGTGTATCTGTTTCTAGAATTTCATGATAGCAGAAAAAATGTACTTGTCTAAAATCTCCTCAAAAATAATTGAAATGCCTACCAAAAGAGTATACTTTTGGAGTTTTTAAATAATTGAAATATCTCGTGTGACATTGGGAAAGTTACTTAGCTGCATTGACCTACTGCTTTCTCTTCCATAAATGACGTTAGTCATACCAGCCTTGCACAGTTGCTGTGAAGATGAAATGAGAAAGCATGTGTGATGTTCAAGCATGGTATTTGGTATATGAAAAGTGCTTAATAAATGATGGCTGCCTTTCCTCACCCTAACTAGTTCTTTTTTCTGTATAGACAAACTTGGTCAAAAAAGGATTTTATTCTGTGCTTATTAAAACCAAAATTTTTCTAAAAAAGTCATCAGTCATCAGTCATCATTGCGTTTCTTTTCCACACTGCAAACACATGAAAAATAAAGTTAAATGCTAAAAAGAAAACAATTTTGAAAATCCATTAAGATTGAACCCTCACTTCCTCTTTTAAAAATCCTTTCATCTATTAGGAGAGAATTTTACATGCCATAAATCTCCAGTAGATGTTGACAAATTTCTCTGTAGTTATCACTTATAAAAAATGTTGTATTGTTTCAGTAAGTAAGAAAATGATTAAATGGCCCTTCCAGCAATATTTCCCTTTAATTTCCTTGGCAGAAAATCCTAACATTTAAAACAAAAGCAGTTCACAAACCACCTTAAAATGTTTAACCCATGATATTTAGACCCAGAGTAAAACTTTAAATTGATGCAAAGGTTAAGGATTTGTTTCAGTCTTTTCAGTTCACTGCACTGTTTTTTTTTTTCTGTGCATATATATTTCCAGTAAGCTCTGTAGTTATAACTATAGCAAGTGACACGTGATGGACCCCAAATTGCTGCACTGTGAAATATGCACAGAAAAAAAAGACAAATGAAGATATCAAGGTCTGTTTTATTTTGCGCTGAACTGTAAAATGCCACCCTTGTTGGACAGAAGATTACTGATTCTGAGCAGGGCTCACTGACTGCTAAGTTGTGGGTAGTGTTTCACTTTCGGCAACTGTTAATATCCAGGGTTATCCAGGCATAATGACCTCACTATTTGTGACACATTGTTGAATTTTCTGGTTCTTTTAACTTATTTAGACCTTTCTCCCCCCTCTCTATTCATTGGAAGACTGGAATGATCCTGAGCCGAGCGATAACTCAGGGCTGCCTGGCTATTGGTCATCCTGTCAGAGTCAAGGCCGCTGAGGGAACATCACTGGCAGGATATAAATTAATCCTACAGAAAAGGTAATGCTTGTGAGTTATTTAGCTCAAGATAATAAATGCTAATTTCAAGAATTCTGAACAGTTCCATTGTGAATTTGTGTTCATAGTAATAGTATTCATTTCTGAATCTAAAGGAATCTTGAAAATATATGCCACTTAGTTTGGTAGTGTTTTAAAAATATTTGAAAAGGTGAAATGTTGGCCTTCAACATATACCTCTGTTGCAAACAACCTCTGCTTTACTCTATAATTATTGGAACTAATTTCTTTATATTTATTTTGATCGCTAATTAAAAATCTCAAATATTTGTGTATATTCTTAACTTTTTTTCCATCTTCTGAATATAAAATATTGAACTGTGAAAGAAAAATCACAGAGACCAAAAAATGCTGGCTTGTAAGGGACCATAAGTGTCCTTCGTGTGTGTGTGTGTGTGTGTGTGTGTGTGTGTGTATAAAATAATATATATATATATATAACATATATATATATATATATAACATATATATATATGTTATATATATATATATAATTTTTCTGATTTAGGAAGACACAGCTAAAAGTAAACAGATTGAGGAAGAAAGTTGATTTACCTCCAAGAGTCTCAAAATATTGTTTCCTAGTCACTTTCTTTTTTCTTGATCTTTTATGTTTAGTTTTCAGTTAGTGCTGAGAAAAACAATTCCTATCATACTTCAGGACTTAAAAAAGCCATTACCAGGTACTTCTGGCTAGATAGGCACATAGGATGTATTTAGGCTTAAATAATGAGAGCAGTTGATCCAGTCATAAAAGCAGAAGGGAAATTTTCTCTAACATGCAAAGCAGATATAAGGATGTCATGTAATGATTAAGAATGTGATCTATAGAGCCAAATTTCCCAGTGTAGATCCACACTGCGCTGCTTACTCTAACAACAAAATGTCTAAGCCAGATGCTATTCTAATATCCTTAAATTGCATTGTCCAATTTTATTCTTGCAACATTCTGATAGGGTAGGTACTATCATTATCTTTACAGGTAAAGAAATTGAGATATAGAGAAGTTAATCACTTGCTCAAGGCCATACCTACTAAGTGATTTGGCAGGAATACAAACCCAAAGAGTCAGCCTCTATAACCTGAAAGTAGACACTTTGCCACAGCACTACACTGCCTGTCAGTTGAAGTCCAGTCAGACAATTGCCAGTGAGTGCCAAGTGGTAGCAAATACCTTAGTGGATGAGCAGGGTACATCACTTGAAAAACTCAGGCAGATGGGAAAGGAAGATGGTAGCTTGGCATCATGCAAACTCTTCAGTGCTAAAAGAGTCCTACATACATAGTTCCTAAGCAGTGGCAGACAACGCTAAAGCAAGTCTCAGTTTGATATAGAGCTGTTTGCAGACTGGGTAATAAGATTTCTGGAGCAGAATGAGGTTTGTAAACTAGAGACACATGTACTAGAAACTAGAGCATGAACTTGCAATGCCAATGCCAATGTGAAATCATAGAACATGGAGCCAGTTATACTTCAGCTCATTTAGTCCACAGTTATACTAAAGAGAAAATCAACCAATTGTAACTGACCCCAAAATGACACAGATGATACAATTACTAGATGGAACATTAAAACAGTTGTTTTAACTGTGTTCTCTATATTCAAGAACCTAGAGGAAAGATGGAACATGTTAACGAAATACATAGAATATCTAAAAAAACTTAGATTTCTAGAGATGAAAACTATATTATAAAAAATATGCTGAACATGGCTAATGCCAGATTAGACAATGTGGAAGAAAATAGCAGTGAACTTGAGAAGATAACAAAACTACTCACAAGGAAAACCAGAGAGAAAAAAAATACTTAAGAAAAAGAACAGTGCATCAGCGAGATGTGAGGAAATTTCATATGGTCTAATTTCTGAGTATTTATAGTCTCTGACAGGTTAAAGCAAGGAACAGAAAAATATTGAAGGAAATCATGTCTGAACTATTTCTATATACAAAATTGAGAACTATAACCCACTGATTTAAGGAACTCAACAAATTCCGGACACAAGAAGCACAGAGAGACAAAACCAAGGCACCTTATAATAGAATTGTTTAAAATTAGTGATTAAAGAGAAAATCTTAAAAGCAGAGAGAAAAGGCATGTTATGTACAAGAGGAACTAAAATAAGGCTGACAGCAGATTTCTTGTTGGCAACAATGCAAGTAAGAAGACAGTGGAAGAACATCTTTAAAATACTAAAAAAGTAGGTGAGGAGGAAACTATTAATATAGAAAACTTTTCCCAATAAAAATGTCTTTCACAAATTAAGACAATATAAAGAACTTAAGACATTCACAAACTGAAGAACTTGTCACCAGCAGATCTTCATGACAAGCAATGTTAGAGGAAGTCCTTCAGGCAGAAGAAAAATGATACCAGATGGAAATATAGAGCACTGGCAATGGTGACTATATAGGTAATATAACAATGCTACTAGGCCGAGCATGGTGGCTCATGCCTTTAATTCCAGCACTTTGGGATACTGAGCTGGGCAGATAGCTTGAGCCCAGGAATTCAAGACCAGCTTGGGCAACATGGCAGAATCCCGTCTCTACATGAAATACAAAAATTAGATTCAGTGAAGGTCCACACCTGTAGTCCCAGCTACTTGGGAGGCTGAAGCAGAAGGTTGAGGCTATAGTGAGCCACGATTGCACCACTACACTACAGCCGGAGTAACAGAGTGAGATTATTCTCAAAAAACAAAAAAACAAAGAAAACCCCAAAAAACTCAAAACCCCACAGTACTAATTATTTCTGTCTCTTTAAAAGATATAATTGATTAAAGCAATACTACTAATAATAATACATTGTGGAAATAATATGTAGAAATATTATGTGTGATGGAAATAACACAAATGCTACTAGGAGAAATAGGGAAGAAAGATTTTTATACTATTTGTGAAATGATATGATATCAACTGAGAGTAGATTATGAGTTAAAAATATATAATCACCAAAGCAATCATTAAAATAGTAAAGTTATGGCTAAGAAACCAAAAAAGTAAATAAAAAATGAAATATTAAAAATAATTAATCCAAAACAAGACAAAGAGGAACAAGGAACAGAAATAGAAAACAAATAACAAGATGGTAGACTTAAAGCCACTTGTATCAATAATTGCATTAAATATAAATAATCTAAATGTAAAAATCACACTCCATTTAAAAATCAGACATTGTTAGATTAGATGAAAAACCAAATTTGTCTATATGCTACCTATAAGAAACTAACTTTAGCCTTTTGGCTCTCTGAGCAGCACCGTGGTGGTTGGCAAGAACAAGCACCTTACAAAAGGCAGCAAAAAGGGTGCCAAGAAGAAAGTGTCTGATCCATTTTCCAAGAAAGATTGGTATGATGTGAAAGCACCTGCTATGTTCAATATAAGAAATGTGGAAAGACGCTAGTCACCAGGACCCAAGAAACCAAAATTGCATCTGTTGGCCTCAACGGTGGAGTGTTTGAAGTTAGTCTTGCTGATTTGCAGAATGATGAAGTTGCATTTATAGGAAATTCGAGCTGATTACTGAAGATGTTCAGGGCAAAAACTGCCTGACCAACTTCCATGACATGGATCTTACCCGTGACAAACTGTGTTCCATGGTCAAAAAATGGCAGACAATTATTGAAGTTTGTGTTGATGTAAAGACTACCGATGGTTACTTGCTTCATCTGTTCTGTGTTGGTTTTACTAAAAAAGGCAACAATCAGATATGGAAGGCCTCTTATGCTCAGCACCAACAGGTATGCCAAATCTGGAAGAAGATGATGGAAATCATGACCCAAGAGGTGCAGACAAATGACTTGAAAAAAGTGGTCAATAAACTGATTCCAGACAGCATTGGAAAAGACATAGAAAAGGCTTGCCAATCTATTTATCCTCTCCATGATGTCTTTGTTAGAAAAGTAAAAATGCTAAAGAAGCTCAAGTTTGAATTGGGAAAACTCATGGAGCATGGTGAAAGCGGTGGTTCTGGACAGGTGCTAAAGTTGAACGAGCTGATGGGTATGAACCCCCAGTTCAAGAATCTGTTTCAAGTTCAGACTTATAATAGTGGCAAATAAAAAGTCTTATTTGTAAAAAGGAAAAAAAAAGAAACTAACTTTAAATATAAAGACACAAATATGTTAAAAGCAAATTCATGAAAAACCATATACAATGATAAAACTAATCCAAAGAGAGTAAGAATGGGTATATTAATGTCAGATAAAGTAGACTTCAGTAAAAAGAATATTACTAGGGATAAATAGGGCCATTTGATGATTAAGGGGCTAATTTATCAAGAGAACATAACAATTCTAATTTTTTAAAAAATGACACAACTTCAAAATACCTGAAGTGAAAGCTGATGGAATTGCCAGGAGAAAGAGAAACATCTACAACTCTAGTGAGCAATAATAATAGCCTGTTTCATAATTAACAGAACAAGTTAAAAAAATTGTAAGGATATAGATTACTGGAATAACATTATTGACCAACTTTACCTAGTTGATATTTATAGAAAAATGCATTTAATAACAGCAGACACATTGTATTGTTTTCAAGACGGAGTCTCACTTTGTAGCCCAGGCTGGAGTGCAGTGGCACAATCTCAGCTCACTGTAACCTCTGCCTCCCAGGTTCAAGTGATTCTCCTGCCTCAGCCTCTCGAGTAGCTGGGACTACAGGCGCATGCCACCATGCCCAGCCAATTTTTGTGTTTTTAGCAGAGATGGGGTTTCACCATATTGGCCAGGCTGGTCTTGAACTCCTGACCTTGTGATCTGCCCACCTTAGCCTCCCAAAGAGCTGGAATTACAGGCGTGAGCCACTGCGCCCAGCCAGCAGATGCATTTTTTAAAATTACGTGGCATGTTAACCAAAATAGTCTGTATTATGGCTACGAAACAAGTTTAAATAAGTTTAAGAAAATTCAAGTAATATAGAGTATGTTCTCTGATGATAATGGAGTTAAACTAAAATCAACAGTGGGAAGTTTTCTCTAAA